TCGGCGCCACTTCTGAAGAGCAGGAGCCCCGGCTAGAGCACGAGATCGAGCCGGTGCAGCAGATCATGAGCGCCCTGCCATTCGGCCTGGGCAATATGATTTCCACCACTCGCTTCGTCACCGCCGAGCGTGACGCCGAGACGAGCAAGCCGACCGGGGTGGATCCGCTTGAGGTGGAGCCGCTTGGCCCAGCAGTGGGATGTGTGGTGGGCGAACACGCCTCCCCCCCTGGCTCCGAACGACTCAGCGCGGAACCGTCGCAATCTCTCGCGCATGGCGACAGAGATGCTGATTGGCTACGCCAAGTCTATTGGCTTAGCGCCTCGTGATCTACGAGTGTTGTTCGATATCCGCGAACCTGCGGTTATTGATCGCCTGGAGCGCGCATCCCCCCGCCTAGACACTAACAATGTGCCCGGCGAGGCGGAGGAAGAGTACCTCAGTCATGTCTGCGGAGCCACTGTAGTCATGACCGGATATCCACACGCGGGCGAGTGGATGACCTTTGGCGCACAGCCCACTACCTATCGCGGATACCAGGCGGTTAAGTCATGTGCTTATTTAGGCGGTTAATTATGCAGTTTGGGTTTGGCACGAGAATGTGGAGGCACGAGAGGCGTTGTGCTCTGCCTATGACCTTAGCGGCAAGGTGGTTGTGCTTTGTTGCACGGAGTTGGGTAGTGTCGGTCAACGTAAGCATGGTTTTCGGTCGGAGTCTTATTTCGAGTCTAGTCTAGTGATGAGTGCTGTCTTTGTCGAGGCTATTCTGTTTGTTGCCTAATTGCAGTCCATGATTGTCACATAGTGAATCAATTGTGACATTCTGTTGTAACGCATAGTTGATACACACGTGGAGAGGCTTGCGACGTGGCTGTGTTTACTTTGTCGCAGCATACGCCAGTCAAGCCACCCATGCACAGTACAAAAAAAAAAAACGTCCCATTTCCTGGGGAAACCCCATAGTCCACGTTGCCCCTACCGTATGGCCAGTATTCGTTAAAAGGGAAACCTGCCGCGTCGCCCCCCGGGTGCTAAGGGAATATGACATGTAGTTGGGATCATTCCAGGATTATACGACGATTTCTTTTTTTGCCCAGTATGTCAAGGTTGGCTATATGCATATCATCAGAATAAAAGAGAGGAAAAAAATAGAGGAAAAAAGATAGGTACTTGGGAGGCCTATTACCCGAAATCGCATGGGGAATCGCGACGCGAAACATTCGCAATTTTGACGAAATTCTCATTGCCGCTGAATGATTCGACTGCTACTGACAAACAAGCATGGGGGCCTATAGTGTTCACCAGCCTCGGGGATCAAACAACCAAGCCATGGTATGCGCCATGAATGCGCAAATAGTAGCAGCCAAATGAGTTTTTCATGAGCGATGTTTCGAGTGCGATCAGCCATGGCATCATAAGTCAGAATGCTCTGAGCTGGTGAACAAGAACGACAATGAGCAGAAGGGAAAGAAGCAGCAGCTGAGAAACGACTGTTCCTACCCCATGGATAGTTAAGCAGCGTCATGCTGAGTGACAGGCTAAGTCTACTGGGAGAGGCTTGAGCTTGTAGCAGCTATGTATGTTGAGGCACGTTAGGGACTCGAGCCATACTGGATGGATACTTCGTATGCTCCTGCGTATCCTTTTACAGATTCGCCCACGCTTCACACGATTCAGGTAACTCGACGCTGAAATGTCGTAGCTCCAGCCGCCGCAGTCGCTGCAGTTCGCCGATGCTGTCGGGGAGTCTTTTCAGGTAAGGCGAATCATCGATTTGCAGTGAGATGAGTGACAAGAGGTCGCCCATAGAATCTAGGAGGCTCTTCAATGCCCGACAGTCCGAAAATGAGAGGTTCATCAGAGTTTCCAGCTGCCCAAAGGTCTTGAGCAGATCCTGCAATATTGGACACTCCAGGTAAAACTCCTGGAGTGCGGGCAGCTTCAACCTGCTAATGGAGTGCCTGGCCTGGCTCACCCAACCACAAGTATCTCTAATAGGTGGTAGTGCCAATTTACATCATCAACCACAACCGGCCATACAAGGGGTTTAAACTGTCAAATGTCCCAATATTGTAAATTGCAAAACTACACAGTAAATTTTTTCATTGACAAAGGCCAGCCACAACCTAGTCAACATAGCAACCACGATAAAGGTACAACTGGTATTGAAGAGGTGCTTACCTAGGATCGGTGCACGCCTACCAATTAGCATGCCCCTGGCTATCAAGGAAAAAGCAAATCGTCTTAGGCTGCAAGCGGGAGGGGAATTTCAGTTCACGCACAAGATGCCAGTTACCACTCTTGATAGCATGGATATGATTATGGGATGCGATTGGCTAGAGAGGCTCAACCCCAACATTGATTGGCCAATTGGCAGCAGCAATATTTGATGTAACAGACAAAGTGTTATGATATTAAAGTGGCAGCAGCTGAGTGTCAGTACTGTACGGGTCAGCGTCATCACCATTATGCAGGGGGTAAAATCCGGCGTGAAGGTGTTTCCTGTGCTGCTGCGCAAAAAGGACAAGGAAGCCAAGCCCCATGATATCGACGGGCTATTATAGTCGCAGCCCGACGACTTGAGTCAAATGATTTGACCGTTCACCGGTATTGTCCCTGTCCACCTACTTCAAGGGTTACCATAAGCACAACCGTTGCATGGAAATTCCTTTTTCCTTATTGGGTTCGACTATAGCGCGTACGCCCCCGACTCTCGGAAGTCCAGCCTCGGCCAACTTCTTCGGTCCCGAACCACTTCGCGAACCCAAACCTCGACGCACAGCGCTTCTGTGGCTTTCGCCAACCGAATTGCCCCAACCTGTTCGCGTTGTTCTCGGCTAGCTCTACTCGTGCCTATAAATGCCTAGGCCCTCATTTGTATCGACACTCTTGAATCACGACTCCTTTATTACACTACCTGTTTTTACTCTGATAAATTCATAACAGCTGGTATCAGAGCCCCGTTCCTGCTCGCTTCGTCTTCCGTAGAGTAGTCCGTTTGTACCGGGAGAGAATAGAGGGTTGGCCAGCGGTTGGTAGGCGAGCTCGTTAAAGCTCCTCCAACTAAAAGCGTGTGCACCCTCATATCTGAGGTAAAATTTCCAGCATGACTAGCACGCCGGAAACCTCTGCCCGTCGTAGTGTTAGGAACGTCACAAGGGAGGAGTTTGACGAGTTGCTAGCCAGGGCGGCTACAGCCACGACACTGCAGGCCCAGCTTCAACAACTCGCGGACAAGTTCGAGTCGCTGGGAAGCAAAGTTCAGACGCTGCGCAACGAAAACTCATCGCTTCACCAGGCGCGGGGTGAAACGCGTTAGGAGCGGCCTGTTACCCGAGATGAGGATGCTGCGAGGAAAGCGAGGGCGTTGGTGACACCTGAAGCAGTTGACGAAGTCCACAGCGAGCTGCGGGCGGCTATTAAAATCAAACCTCAGATCCCCCCACCGTTCAACCCCACCGGCAGGACAGCTACAGTGAGCGGGTGGCTGTTCGCCATGGAAACCTTCTTCATGGCAGCAAGTATTAATGACAACGCCTCATGTGTCAACGTGGCTGTGTCGCTGCTGAGGGGACCGGCACTCGACTGGTGGCGCATGCATCTTGACGAGGGAGGAGCTCCGACAGGGAATCAACGGGCGGCAGCTGGGGAGATGAGTTCATGAACGGCAAAGGCAAAACCAATCTTTGGATCGGCCACGATCCGCACGTGGAAAGCGTGGGGCGATGCATTGAAGGGCAGATTCGAGCACATATCCATGCGCGAAAATGCTCGCACAAAGCTTCGGATGTGGAGACAGTTGGGCTCTGTCTAAGAATACACGGCGTCGCTTCTAAGGATCACCGAGGACGAGAAAATTGATCGCTATGTGGGCAGGCTCAAGCTGGAGATTCAGCAAAAATCGTCCTACGAGCCCCGACGACCTTCAACGAGATTGTTCGCATAGCAGATGCGCTAGACGCACGACGTGGACTCACGAGAGCGGGTTTCCAGGAGGGAAATCGCTTTCAAGGCCAGCCCCAACACACATCAATCAACGGCGTGGTAGTGTTTGCAGCCCAAGAATTTTTGGGGACCTGCTTCCACTGCAACCAGCCGGGTCACATGGTGAGGGACTGCCCACAGCTGAAGAAGAACTTACCTAACGACAAGAAGGAGTCGGGAAATGGCGATCAACAGTAGCAGATGGGGCCACCTACTGACTTGACTGCGTCGCCCAAACGCCACCACCCCCACCAGGTTATAGTGCCGATTTGGGCTATCGACCATTCCTGGCTGAAAAAGGGGGGGGAACCGCTTGATCACCTTGTGCTGGTCGAAGGGAGAGTTGGCGACACCCGCATCAAAATATTCGTTGATGGCGGGGCGAGCCACAGTTTGATGGATGTGATGAAGGCAAAAAAATTGCGACTGCAACTGGAGCGCTGCATGCCGGAGATCGACGCAAGATTGGTCGACGGCACCCCAATGGCAATTTGGGAGTGAGTGCCTCATGTGCGAGTTACATGCGGCGAAAATTTCAGCTTCACGACGAAGATGCTGGCGACAACGTTGGACGGCTGCGACATGCTGCTGGGACGCGATTGGCTGCGCGAATACAACCCGAGCATCGACTGGCGGACGGGTGACTGTTGCATCAAATGGAGTGGCGAGTGGCGACGACTTTTGAAGTGGAGCAGTCAAGATTCTGCGACATCGATAGTCAGCGCAGTTATCATCAAGCGAGCGATGATTCGCGGAGTGCAACTGTACGCTGTCAGATGGATCGCATCCACGGCTGTCGGCGCACCAGCCGACATCAACAAACTCTGCACAGCCGTTCCCGACGACTTGGTGAGATTGATTCGCAGGCACGCCAACATCTTTCCAGAAGACCTACTGGCGGGTTTGCCACCGGAGCGAGCCCACGACCACAAAATCGAGTTGGAGCCTGGCGCGCATCCGACTGTTCGGACTCAATGGCGGCTGACTCCGCCAGAGTTGGATGAACTTCGCTGCCAGCTGGACTACCTTCTCTCTCTCTTTCTCATTTTCTCTCTCTCTCTCTCTCTCTTCTCTCTCTCTTCTCTCTCTCTCTCTCTCTCCTCTCTCTCTCTCTCTCTCTCTCTCTCTCTCTCTCTCTCTCTCTCTCTCTTCTCTCTCTCTCTCTATCTCTCTCTCTCTCTCCTCTCTCTCTCTCTCTCTCTCTCTCTCTCTCTCTCTCTCTCTCTCTCTCTCTCTCTCTCTCCTCTCTCTCTCTCTCTTCTTCTCTTCTCTCTCCCTCCTCTCTCTCTCTCTCTTCTGTCTCTCTCTCTCTCCTCATCTCTCCTTTCTCTCTCTCTCTCTCTCTCTCTCCTCTCTCTCCTCTCTCTCCTCTCTCC